AGAGAGAGAGAGAGAGAGAGAGAGAGAGAGAGAGAGAGAGAGAGAGAGAGAGAGAGAGAGTCGGCGCACAGACACACATACGCTCACAAACATATGCGAACGAGGGAATTGACTATGGTGATTTTTGCAGATATGGACGTCGAAGAAGGCTCGCCATGGTTTTTCGCCTGTTGAAGATGTTCATGGGCGATTCCGGTCTTCTGCTGACCCGTCTTGCAAAGATGGCAGTGATGCGTGTTTGGTGGGGGGCAACTTTCAAAAAGCTGGGCGTGTTCCTACTGCCGACGTTGTGAGCAGATCGATCGCTTACGGCGGCAGCGACGGCTGTTTCGGTCGGGACATCTCGTCTCGACCACCGCCATCGTCATCCCCATCATCATCTGGTAATTGTGCGCATACTGGAATATCAAACGGTTTGGGAGCGCGTCAAGGCGATGGCTCCTGCAGAGTGACGACGGCACCTGCAGAAAAAATGGTCAAACCTTCAGAGGCGGTCAAACCTGCCGAAGGTACTGGATCACGGCTATGGCAGTTCAAGTCTGTAGGAACGAGTGGGGAACAAATCGCGAAAGGAGGAGCGCGGGCATTGCGTTCATCGTCGGGCGTGGATGTGCAGAGTGACGTGGCAGTTCTGGGCAAACGCAGATCGGAATCAGAGCGTATGCTGAGGGAGAAGGAAGGGAATCGATTGGAAGCACTGTATAGAGACAGAAATGGGTTGATTGGGCAAACGACCTGTCCTTGGGTGGTGGACCGTTCATCTTCCGATAGGGACAGAGATGTTGCGGCTCTTGCGAGAGATAAAGGGACAATTGTAGAAGGGTGGAGAGGGCGCAATGCACAAGAAGGCGGGTCAAACGACCGGTCATTGGGTGGTGGTGGTTGTGGTGGTCGAGGTCAACCAACCGAAAGATCCCCTGAGGAGTGGAATAAGAACAGGTCGAAGACAGCACCGTTGGGTCCTGGGTGAGTAACTGAACCCTTTGAAGTGTTTTTCTTTTTTTTTTTTTTTTTTTTTTTTTTTTTTTTTTTTTTTTTTAACATACTTCCTATCCATC